CGGTGAGGGAGCGGGGGTGGGGATCGGTCCGGGGGAGGCCTGGGGCCGCTGGCTTGTGCGCTGTCTCCGCCGCCCCCCCTTTCGCCGCCGCCGCCGCCGCCCCGGGCATGTCGTCCAACTGCACCAGCACCACGGCGGTGGCGGTGGCGCCGCTCAGCGCCAGCAAGACCAAGACCAAGAAGAAGCATTTCGTGTGCCAGAAAGTGAAGCTATTCCGGGCCAGCGAGCCGATCCTCAGCGTCCTGATGTGGGGGGTGAACCACACGGTAACCAGCTCCCTGCGCGCGTCCCTCCGAGCGTGGCCCAGAGCGCTCCCACGCCCCCCGCAGCCCCGTGCCCTCGCCCCGCGGGCCCTGCCGGTGACGCCTGCTACCCCTTGCCAAGCCACTTGCACGCCCACCCCACCCTTGCACGCCGTCCGGCCCGGTGTGCACTCCCCGCGCGCCACGCGAGGCCTGGTGTCTCCATGGTATGCTGTCGCCTGCTTCCCTTCCCTCCAGCCCCTCTGGCTTCCTGCGTCTGATGTGCTCGCTTCGGGCAGCCCCTGGAGCGCAGAGGGGAAGGCCTGGGTGCAGTGGAATCGCTTTCATCCCCTCTCCCTCTCTTCTCTCCTCACCCTGTTAGTTGCATGTGTATTCCCCCCTTGTTCCTTACAGCGGGCTGCCAGCTCACTGTCCAGGTGACATGGCAAGTGGCATTGGCCTGCTTGAATAGTCCTCTATTTCTTGTCGTTTAGTGTGTGTGGCTGTTCAAAGTTTCCCATCCTCCAGGCCTCCTTACTCCTGGTTCTGGAAATCCTCCCTGGGTTTCCTTTTTTTTCTTGAACAAGATGTATCAACTGGAGAAGCAAAGGCTTCCTTGAACCACAGACACTTTACCAGGATCTCCCTGGTTAGGGACAAGAGAGAATGTAGCCATCTGAGAGAAGGGGAGGCCTGATTGTAAGGAGGGACTAGTCATAGTAGAAATAATGTGTCTTCTGGTATTTTCCTGTGGTGTTCACATCAAAGAAGTTGACTTCTAATGTATGGCATGGTCCCCAAGTGTGTATTGTATGGTCCCCAAGTGTGTGATGACACATGGTGATTATTGTCCTAGATGAGAGAGTGGTCCCTTGGATTCTTGGGGTGCTTTGAGATTGTTAACAGTTTCTGCCAGGAAGTTGGAGTTGACACGGTGTTTGAGCTGGTTGACTCTGTTTATGTGCTGTTTGTTTAGGGTCTTTCTTCTTCCTCTTCCAACCACTTGCTTATTGCCTTCTGACTATTTCTTTGTGAGTCCCTATGCTAGGAAGGAACAGAGGAAATAAAAGAACCTGAAACACCAGTTTCACCAACTAAAAGTTTGGATTTAGGAAGATCAAGCTTGGGTTTCCTGTGGATTTCAATTCTTTAGGCTCCCTGACTTTTTTGAGTCCTTGAAATTGCCCACAAGTCCAGATTATGACAAAGAGGGCCAGTAAGACTTTGCTTTGCTTTGGTAGAGGAGCTGGAGGTGCCTTTAGGTGGAGATTGATGAACCATTCTCTGAGCTAAGGTTTCAGATCTTTACATCCAGTATAGAAAAGCACATGTGCTTGGTGAGGTCTTTGTTGGTTTCTTTGTCTTGGGCAGGTTACTATTTTCAATATCCTCACTGGAGTTAATGAGGGTCTGGCCAGGGTAGATAGAGAGTACCACTGGTGTAATGCCCAGACCTCTAGGAGCTGCTTCGGGCCAGCAGTCCAGCACAAGGTTGTTATTCCTGCCTCCTGCTGCCTCAGGGGCAACATTTCTAGGGAAACTGGGTCATTAAAATGTGAACCCCGTGTCCCTTTCTGGAAGTCACTTTTTGATTTTGTTCTGCATCCTGCTTATCACTAGAAAGCATCTTATCTGTGTAGAGAAGTGGTAGAGGCCGGTCAGGAATATTATAGTTAGCCAGAAGGAACCTTGTGTCCCTTATTTTACACATGGAGAAACGGAGGTCCCAGGTGGAGGGTTAGCTTGCCTGTGGTCACAGCAAGAGGTGTAGCTCATTGTCCAGCACTGTGGGGCTGTGTCAGCTAATGGTGGTGCCTGAGTGGCAAGTCTTGTTTTCTTTGCCCCTGTTCTTCTTCCTCTCTCTCAGCCAAGTCTCAGGATAGGTGGGAATTATAGTCTTCTTAGAAAACCTAGATGTTTACTCTGGGTTATGTGCCCATGCGTGCCAGGTCCTGGGAGTGTGTGTGGTGCTTGGGGTCCAGATAGGCAGTGAGTCTGTCCAGACGTAGGCATCTGATGGAAGCCTCTCAGTGGCAGAGGAGGTACCTGTGATTCCTACTCTCTTGGACAAAGTGGTCACCTTCTTTTTTCACTCACTTAAGATAAAAGTTTGTTTAGGGTGCTAGCTGGAAAGGCATTGACTTTAAGCAAGAGCCATGCCTCTGGGCATAATGAGCAGGCACCTCAAGGGAAAAGCACTTAGTGCCACTGCCCTGGACAGGCTGAACTTTGATGTCAGTTAGTCCCAAGTTTTTTTGCTTCATCCTGCCTTGCAGTAAGCTCTAGAACTTCAGTGTCCATCTGGGAAATGGAGATATCTGCCCAGAAGAAGAGTGTAACATCTTGTAATTTGCAGCAGTTCCTAACCTTTTTGGCACCAGGGACCGGTTTCATGGAAGACAGTTTTTCCATGGATGGGGGTAGGGGGTGAGGTGTCATGGTTGTGGGAAAGGTGGTGCAGAGCTCAGGCGGTGATAAGTGGCCCATTTCCTAACCGGCCACGGACTGGTACCGGGCACAGCCGGGCAGCGGGGGGAGGGGTTGGGGACCGTAAGTCTAGGGGATTAGGACCATATTGTTCTTGGTGGATTCCTGGCCTTTCTTGGAGGTTCCTTTCCTACAGAAGCCTGCTGTTGCCACTTTTTGCCATCTGAGGTTTCAGATATCACCCTTTCTGTGATTCTTTAGTTTCTCACCAATTCAGGCATGTTAGTCTATGGCTAATGGTGTATCATACATGAAGGATGGATATGTCTTTATCTACAGCAAAAGTCAGTTACCCCCTCATGAGGTGGTTGGTTTACTTCTAGGTGGAAAAAGAGAAAGAGAGGCCTTTGAACACAGTGTTGTCACAGGAGCTGCTCTCATGCACGAGAGATGCAGTCCGTGGATTTTGTAGAGGAAGAGTATGTAGGAAACAAAGAGAAAAATCAGAAGACTTTATACTGTTAAGGGGAGAACTAGTAAAAAGAGAAAACTAGTGTTTTAGTGTATGAAATGCATTTCAGAGGGTATGGAATTAGGGAAGAGATGGCTTCAGAAAGGAGCATGGAGACCAGGGGAGGCAGACCTGGCTTGATATTTTTTGGCCAATTTAGGAACCAGGTATGTGTGAACACTCATCATGGGGATCACAAGAATAGGAGCAGTTGATGGTCACTCTATATTTAACCATTTGAGATACTGCCAAGCTATTCTCCAAAGTGGCTGTACAATGGTTACATTTCTACCAGTAGTGTGTGAGGGTTCCAATTCCTCCACATCCTTGTCAACACTTGTTATTGTCTGTCTTTTTTATTATAGCCATTCTAATGGGTGTGAAATGGTATTTCATTTCGATTTTGATTTGCATTTCCCTGATGGCTAATGATGTTAAACATCTTTTTATGTGCTTATTGGCCGTTGTATGTTTTCTTTGGAGAATGACTACTAAATCCTTTGCTCACTTAACAAAATTTTTTTTGCCTATTTTTAAATTTAGTTGTTTTTTTATTATTGAGTTGTAAGAGTTCTTTTTATATTCTAGATACAAGTCCCTTATCAGATATATAATTTAAAAATATCCCATTCATTGGGTTGTCTTTTTCATTTTCTTTATGGTATCTTTTTTTTTTTTTTTTTTTTGACAGAGTCTCACTGTGTTGCCCAGGCTAGAGTGCCATGGTGTCATCCTCGCTCACAGCAACCTCAAACTCCTGGGCTCAAGAAATCCTCCTGCCTCAGCCTCACGAGTAGCTGGGACTACAGGCATGCGCCACCATGCCCGGCTAATTTTTTCTATATATTTTTAGTTGTCCAATTAATAAATTTTTTTCTTTTTTTAGTAGAGACGGGGTCTCGCTCTTGCTCAGGCTGGTCTCGAACTCCTGAGCTCAAACAATCCGCCCACCTCGGCCTCCCAGAGAGCTAGGATTATAGGCGTGAGCCACCGCGCCCGGCCTCTTTATGGTATCTTTTGAAGTTCAAGTTATTAATTTTAACAAAGTCCAATTTATCTATTTTTCTTTTGTTGCTTATGGTTTTGGTATCATATCTAAGAAGGCTTTGCCTAACCCAGGGTCATAAAGATTACTTTTATATTTTCTTCTAAGAGTTTTATGGTTTTAGCTCTTTTAAAATTTTCTTTTTTCTTTTTTCTTTTCTTTTCAGTGACAGAGTCTTGCTCTGTTGCCCAGGCTTGAGTGCAGTGGCATCATCATAGCTCACTGTAGCCTCAAATTCCTGGGCTCAAGTGATCCTCCTGCCTCAGCCTCCCGAGTAGCTGGGACTACAGGCATGTTTCACCATGCCCGGCTAATTTTTCTATTTTTTGTAGAGACCGGATCTTGCTCTTGATCAGGCTGGTCTCAAACTTCTAGCCTTAAGCAGTCCTCCCGCCTTGGCCTCCCAGAGTGCTAGGATTACAGGTGTCAGCCACCATGCCCAGCCTAAAAAAATTTTTATGGTCAGAACACTTAATATGAGATCTACCCTCCTAATGAATTTTGACGTGTACAATGCAATGTTGTTGACTATAGGTACAATGATACACAGCAGATCTGTAGAGCTTATTCATCTTGCTTAACTGAAACTTTATGCCTATTGATTATTAACTCCCTATTTCCCCTTCCCCAAACCTCTGGCAACCACCATTCCATTCTTTGTTTCTATGAATTTGACAGTTTTAGATACCTCATATAAGGGGAATCGTGCGGTATTTGTCATTCTGTCAGTGGTCTATCTCACTGAGCATAATGACCTCAAGGTTCATCCATGTTGTTGCATACTGCAGAATTTCCTTTATTTTTAAAAGATGGAATAGTATTCCATTGTATGTGTATGCCACATTTTCTTTATCCATCTGTTGATGGATTTAAGTTTTTTTCATGTCTTGGCTCTGTGCATAGTGCTGCAGTATATATAGTTTTAGCTTACATTTAGGTCTGTAATCCATTTTGAGTTCATTTTTGTGTATGGTGAGAGGGACAGATTCATTCTTAAGTCTGCTCAGTTCCTCTCCTACATTCCACCCCCATTCTGTCCAC